ATGGCCGGCCCATGGATAACAGGCCGTGTACCTCCCCCAGGGGGGGCGGGCCAGTGCTCTGCCGCCAGCCCTGCCCAGCCCTTCACCCCACAGCCGGGGGAGGGAGGGGGGCCAAAACTGCCCCGGGGTTTTTTTCTTCTCTCAGAGGGGAGTCGTGCGGCTCAATGGCACCACCTAGGGGCTGCGGCTGGGACCTCGCTGCTTGGCTCAGGGTAAAATGGGATACGCACCAGCAATTAATTCCACCTCCTCCCCGTGCATGAACCCGAGTGTGTCTGCCCCAACACACACACACACACACACACACAGAGCCGGCCCCTGAGTGCATCCCCCCCAACACACACACACAGAACTGGTCCCTGGGCGCATCCCCCCTAACACACACAGCCAGCCCCAGGGCGGTTCACACACACACACGCTGATTCACACACGGTTCACACACACACACGCTGATTCACACACACACACACAATCACACACACACACACACAGGTTCAATCACTTGCCTTTATTGGCTGGGCCGGGCGTAGAAGAGCTCGGTGCCCCCGCTCTTTGGAAATACTGGTTCATGCTTTGGCCCCTGCCCTTCGCCCCCTTCCCCCCCCCGGCGCCAGGGACGCCAGGATCACCCCCACGTCCAGTGCAAATACGGCTGGCTGGGGAGGGGGCGCGACCCACATGCCCAGCAGCCTGGTGGGGAAGGGCAGAGCCAGCCCCAATCCTGGCTGGAGGGTACATTCTGTGTCCCTCTCCCATCCCCCCCAGGAAGGGGCACATGTCACCCTTGATTCCCCCCCCCCCATTCCCCAAGCAGCTTCCTCCCCGGTCCTTGGGGGGGAGGGGAGCCTGAGCCCCCTAAGAAAGGGCAGCACCAGGCACCCTCCCCCACAAAGTGCCCCCCCGGAGTCTGGGTCTGCCCCCTGGGCCCTGTCCCGCCCCAGCCTTTCAATATAGCTCTGGATATAGACTCAATACATATATAGATCTCTGGAAAATACAGCCCCCGCCCTCCCCGCTCCATGCCGGCCCCCCCATGCCCCGCCCCCTAGACGAGACGCCATTGCAGGACACTGGTGTCGGTGCCGCCGGTGGAGAGCAGCAGGCTGTCGTCGGGCAGGAAGGCAACGTTGGTCACGTGGCTGCTGTGCCCGCCGGCCGCGTGGCTCGGGGCCTGCCAAGGAGACGGGCGGGGTCAGGGCCGGGAACCTGCGGCAGCCGGGGCCATGGCTGGGGGCAGAGGGGCTGGGTTGTGGGGGAGGGCAGGGAACAACCCAGAGGAGACTCAGCCTGGAGAAGGGGCCCCCTCATCTAGGGGCAGTGAGAGATGGGGGGGAGGGCAGTGCTGCAGCACCGGGGACATGGCTGGCACGGGGGGCACCAGGGGGTGGGGCACGGGCTGGCACTCACCCACAGCTGGCGTGGGGCACCAGGGGGTGGGGCACCGGGGGTGGGCACAGGGCTGGCACACACCCCCAGCTGGCGTGGGGCACCAGGGGATGGACACAGGGCTGGCACTCACCCGCGGCTGGCAGCAGGGGTAGGAGAACAAGTGCACTTTGCCGAAGTCGTCGGCGGAGGCCAGGAGTTTGCCGTCGTGGGAGCGGCACACGGCGTTGATGTCTGTCCCGTCCGCGCCCTCCGGCCAGATCCCTGCCAGGGCAGACAGGGCAGGTCAGGCCAGGCCTGAGCACGGGGCCACCCCAGAGCCCCCACTCCCACTCCCTAACTGAGCCCCATCCATCCCCCGGCCCCGCTCCCCGACCAGCCCCCCCAGCCGCACCTGCACCCCAGCCCCACTCCCCGACCAGCCCCCTGAGCCCCGCTCCCCGACCTTCTGCCCCACACCCCCAGCCCTCTGCACTGCTCCTCAACTATCCCTGAGCCCCGCTCCCTGACCTCCCCCCAGCACCGCTCCCCAACCAGCCCCCCGAACCCTGCTCCCTGACCTCCCCCCAGCACAATCCACCCTCCAACCTCACTCGCCAACCAGCCCCCTGAGCCCCACTCCCCAACCTTCTGCCCCATACCCCCAGCTCCCTACACCATTCCCCAACCAGCCCCCCGAACCCCGCTCCCGACCTCCCCTCCAGCACAATCCACTCCCCAATCCCAATCCCTGACCAGCCCCCCGAGTCCCGCTCCCCGACCTTCCGCCCCACACTCCCAGCACCGCTCCCCAACCTGCCCCCTAAGCCCTGCTCCCCAACCAGTGACCCCATCCCCACTCATGCCCCTAGCCCCCTCCCTGACCAGCCCCACCCACCCCCTCGCTTCCTGACCAGACCCCCAATCTGCTCCACAACCTTTTACTCACCTGCCACCCCCAGCCCCTACAGCCACCCCCAGCCCTGGTCCCCAAACAGCCCCCCAGCGCAGCAGGATCAGCCACGCCCCACAGCCGGGGTGAGTGTGTCCTGAGTGGGGCTGGCCCCCAGCTCCCTGCTGCCCCGGCACTCACCGAAGACCCCGAAGCCCAGCACGCAGCTGGCCGTGGCCCACTCCAGGTTGCGCACGGCTCCGGCGTTGGGGATCTGCCGGCAGGTGGTGGGGTCCCCTGGAGACAAGGGGGCCGGATGAGCAGGGGACCCTGCCCCACAGAGCAGCCCCAGAGCCCCCAACCCCAACAGCCCAGGATACTCCCCTGGCAGCAGGGGTCTCCCTGTGCTGCCCGGAGGGGGGGGCAGTCCCATAATCCCCCCATTATGGGGGGGACCAGGGTGCAGCCCTGCCACCAGCCAGCGCCAGGAGTGGAACCCAGGAGTCCTGGCCTCCAGGTCAGCCCTGAGCTGGCTGCACCTTGGGCCCCCCAAGTACCTTCCTGTATTAACCGTTTACTCCCCAGGCTGAGGATGTGGGTGTCTCTGGGCCCCGCAGGGAAATGGGGGGCCCTGGGCTACCCACTGCCGAGATGCCCCACTGGGGACACGGGACTATTTCTCTCCTCCCAGGGGGGAAGAACACGCCTGCCCCTGTTTTGATTTGTCACTGCCACCTTGGGGCCAAAGCATCCCAGCCTTTAAAGCGTGGTGCCCAGCGGGACCCCAGCTCCTGGCATGGTGCCCAGCGGGGCCCGGCTCCCCGGCCCGATGCCCAGAGCCTGGCCCGGCGCCCAGCGGGGCCCGGCTCCCCGGCCCAATACCCAGAGCCTGGCAAAGCACCCAGGGGGGCCCGGCTCCCCGGCCTGATGCCCAGAGCCTGGCGCAGTGCCCAGCGGGGCCTGGCTCCCCGGCGCGATGCCCAGAGCCTGGCGCGGTGCCCAGCGGGACACGGCTCCCCAGCACACCCCAGGCCTCACTCACAGTACAGGATCTCGTAGTCCCCAGAGTTGGTGACGAAACAGCTGCTGTCGGCTGCCCAGTCTAGGTGAGTGATGAAACTGGAATGACCCTGTGGGGGAGGGGCAGAGGGGGTTAATGGGCGGGGGGTAGGGTGACTGACCCTGGGGGGCAGGGCAGGGGGCTAGCGAGGGGTGTGACCGACCCCAGTGGGAGTATTGACCTGGGGTTCTGGGGGTGCCTGTGCTACAGAGAGAACAAGCATCTGGTTCCAGAGGGGCCCCGAGAGGCCCCCGGCTCGCTCCCCGCCCCTGGCCAGAGCAGCCCTGTGGTGAGCCTCGCGGGGTACATGCTCGGCAGTGCCCTCCACTGGCCACCCCCTGCGCTGCAGGGCGAGTGGCTCCACCAGCCCTATGGGCGCCCCTCCAGCAGAGCCCCGGCGAGGGTCCCTCCTTCCCTGCCCGGCCCCGCGGGCGCCCCCGCCCGGCCCCCACTTACCGAGCACTTGCCAACGCGGCTGTACTTCCTACCGTCCTCGGAGACACCGTACACGTAGACGAAGTTATCGTGGGAGCCCACGGCCAGGTAGCTGCCATCTGGGGGCACAGAGAGGAGGAGCTGGGCAGAGCCACACGGGCTGCGGAGCAGGGCCTGGGCCAGGGACGGACGGTGGGACGCCCCTCACGGGAGCCAAGGGGCTACTGGAATCGGGGACGGGAAGGGCTGAGGATGCGGGGTCAAGGCAGGCATGACAGGGTTGGCTCCCCCAG